CCCTAAACCCTGAACCCTGAACTTAGAGGTTTAGGCTGCGCATGCTGGAGGTCTCGCACCTGGGATGTTGTTCTCGCCTCCGCCCTGCATGAACGATCCGGCCATCGAGCCTTCAAGTCAATGAGATCACAAAGGATGATATATTGTATAATATATAGTACATAATATACAGTATAGAATATGTACTATATCATATATAATATATCATATATAATATATCATATACAATATATAACATAAAATATAATATGTAAAATATAAAATGCATAATATAAAAAAATATAATATGATATAATATGATACTATAATATAATTTGCATCCAGAGAAGGGACTTACCCATGGACCGTGACCGACACATCATCCCAAAGATCCCTCGACTGCGGTGAGCGTCACACTTCCCTCCCAGCCTCCACCTGGTGCTCCGGTGGGAAACCTGTGTCAGACATGACTTGCACGACGCGCACGGACACCGTGCCACGGCCTCTCGCCGGAGCTCGGGTTCGGATTGGGCGCAATGCCGCTGAGGTTTGCCACGTTCATCAGCTGCGCGAAGCAAGCGCTGTTCAGCTGCCCGTCCTGACCTGAGCCGTCCCAACAAAGGCCCCCAAACCCTAAACCCTATACCCTCTGCCCTAAACCCTATACCCATCACCCCATCACCGTATAGTCGCGTATTTGCGACCCCGGCCTGGGAAGGGTGCCATGCCCGCCTTCCCCTGCAGGTTCCCCTGGGAAGCTCAGCGGCTCGGCTTTGAGAATCTCATAGCTCACAGCGATTTTTGGGGGTTTCCGAAAATAGGGGGACCCTAATATAGCACCCTAAGTAGTAGGATCCGTATTATAAGGACCCCAAAATAAGCTACCCCCAGATTTCGGAAACTCCCGTTTCAAGGCATCCCCAAGCCTCCCAGTTCGGGCTGCACGGCCCCACACCACCACATGGCCCCGTGCTGCAGCCGCCTCCGCTACCTCGGATGCAGCCCGCAGCATGAGCTTTCTACTTTGTTACTACGGATGCTACCTACAGCGCTACACGACATCACCCAAACCATGAAGTACCCTAAATCCGACAAAGCCCTGTAAGACCATGAAACAAACAAGATCGATAAATGGCAAGCCCTGGTCCTAACCCCAAACCCCATCGATGGCAAAGATGCAAGGGGTTGGGCTCGGACTGGCTGCACTAAGGCCACTGAAGCCTCCCCCGCGGCACATGTTCATGCCTGGGCGCCATGGGCCAACATGACATGGCATCACCCGAGCTCAAACATCATGCGTTAAGGCTTCGGGTGCGGAGCGGATTGCTGCCAAAGCACTCGAGGCATCGAAGTCTTCCTGTGGAAACAGTTGGAGAGTTGGACGAAGGCGAAAAAAAATGCCGAAAACAGACTCTTCGACACCGGCGCCGTCCTCGAAGTTGCTCGGTGCGAGAGCAGCACATGCTCCGAGACCCGCGGTGCCCGTGCCGGAGCATCCTCCGCATGCATTGAAGTTGGGAACGCAGCCTGGCGAGCGGTAGATGATGGCAGATGCCAAAACTGCGTAGTATCAAGCAGAACTCTTCCAAGCCTCCGCAGCCGCAGCAGCCGGCGTTACAACCACAGCCGCAGCCGCAGCCAGTGCAACCACTGCAACCTCCACAGCCACAGCAACTGCTCGGCATGTTGCAGTTGCCAGCCTCAGATGTGGTGTCTTGATGGTTCACCCAAGTCAACATCACTCCCCGGGACCCGCAGTGGCAAGCCAGCATTGCAGCATTGCCCCCCTACGACAAGCTCTTGACCCTGAACGAACTGGAGCTATGATCTCTGCGGCCGCGGGGCGCTTCCTGGGTTGCAAGCGTTGCAGGCATTCCCGCTACTGCAGCCACATCCGCCGCAGTTGCCGGCATTGCAGCTGTTCCCGCTCATCTGCAGGCTTCCGCAGTTGCCGCCACAACCTCCCATGCACTGCCCGCAGCCGCCACAACCTCCACAGGCGCCTCCACATCCACAGCCCCCACAGCCACCTCCGCAACCCCCGCAACCTCCACACCCGCAGCCTCCGCAGAGCCCACCACAGCCGCAACCTCCGCAAGCACAGCCCATCTTCTGAGCATCACCGCAACCACCGCAAGGACAGCCACAGGCGCCTGCAGGGAAACCCCCCTTGCCCATGAGAAAGTTGGGATTGCAGCCTCCGATCATCGCAGCGGCATCTTGGAGTGCATTAAGGTTGCCAGTCATCTTCTGTGACAACGCCGTGTCTTGTGAAGGGAGGTCAGGCATAGCCATGCCAGGATTGGGAATGCTTGGCTCGTTAGGCGCACTTCTCTTGCCTCCCTTCTTACCCTTGCCACCCTTTCCTGCGCCTTTTTCCTGAGGGGGCTTTGGTGCACCTGTGCCGCCAGTGACCTGGTGCGCCTTCATCCGCCCGCTTCTGTTGTCAACCGCCTCGCTGTACTGCACATGATCCCCCTCATTCAGCAGGGTGTCGATCACATCGTTGCCTTATCGGAGAAGCTTTAAGATTGAAGATGCGGAACGCCAAACAAGCAGTTCTCCACAGACTTCTCAAGGCTCAAACAGCACCATGGAAGATAAGCCACGATGGACGAAGAGGTCATTGCCACCATCATCCTGCTTGATGAACCCGAAACCTTTCTCATCGTGGAAGAACCTCAGCAGTCTGCCGATGAGACACGATTCCACCGAGAACACACGGTCTTCACTGCATGTTAAGCAGAGACGAGGCACTTGACAACGCCGGACTTGATGCCGTCTGGCAAGCCTGCACAACCACCCGGCATGGGTGCGCCTGCTTTTCCTGTCAAGTGATGAAATCCAAAAGCGATTGCCCTGCAGCCGCGCTTAGAGCACTGACTAAGTTACGCCATGCAGAGGAAGCCTGCGCCAAGGCCGCAGCCCCCACCTCAGCCGGGATGAGTGCTGTACGTACACACATAATCGTGCACGTGTGTTGTCTTGTATAAGTAGATGGGTAGTTCTCTACATTAGGTCCCTTTTTAGGTCCTTGTTGTACGGGTGCAGTACTAATATTGGGGACCCCAAAACGAACCCTAATTTAGAGAACTACCCAGATAGTCTGAGGCAGCCGCCTAGCATCAAGCCGCATGGAGCCGCACAGCCGCCAAGGCCACAGCCGCAGCCACCGGGAACCGGTCCGGCAACGAGGCCTCCGTTCAGAGCTCCTGAGAAGAGAGGTTTTGGGGATTTTTTGGAGGGGTTTCGAGGGTTTGGGGTTTTGGGGCTTTCAGGGTTTGCAGAGTCCATCTTGGAGGGTTTTGGGGTGAAGAGGCGCGACAAAAACCCAAAGGCTGTCCTGGAAGCTGTTTCGCACCTCCGGAGAAGGCTTATACACTCGTGCCAGTGACGAAAGAAACTCAATGGTCGACTCCAAAAATCTCTTCGACACAGCGGCCTCCTCCCTTGCCCTTGTCGCCTCGCTTGCCCTTTCCACCCTTGCCACCTGCCACAAAAGAGAACAAACCGACGCCACCAAAAAATTTGGCCTCTGTGCTTGCGTTACATCCCTGTCGAAAAAGCCTTTTTCTCCGTCTCCGGGATCTCCTTTGCCACCTGCAAAGCCAGAGAGCCCAATACCCCTTGATTAAGGAATATACCTTAAATTATAGGGGCCGTAACATTATGGTTTAAGGTATATTCCTTAATTAAGGGGTCTTGGGGACCAGGGCTTAGGGTTTTCGCTTGAAGCCGAGGATGCCTGGTGCAGGTCCAGATCCTCCTGCGACGCAGATGGCCTTGGGCTTGCCCGTGCGCTCGTTCAAGCCTTCGTCGAAAGTGACCTGCCGCTGACTCTGTGGCTACGGGCTCCTTAGGCCCAGAATCAGAAAGCCTTTGAGGTTGATATTACTTCAACACAAAGGCCAGGGCAAGCGGGCAAAACCATACCCGCCTTGTCTCCAGCCTGTAGTGTTCCACCAATGACATCCGTGCGCAGAACAAAGAGGTCCTGGCAAGCAGTCTGAAGATACTTCCGCAACAAAACATGCAGCGAATGCTGGCACTTGCAGCGATGGCAGCAGGTCCGTGCTGGTTCCAGTGGGAACGATGAATCCGAAGCCCTGCACACACACTTGTGTGTGTGTGTGTGGGCGCGTCGGGAAGTCGTGACGCATACTCTCTGTTGCACGTAGGGCCTTTGCAGTGTCATACTTCTTCACAACACCGGTCAAGGCCATGATGGTCAAAATCACAAGATCGCAGAGCCTTCCTTACAAGTGCCGACATGTTACCGCGCATGGCGCGCATTCCAAAATGAGACTCAGCTCGTACCCACAGGTCAGCAGCGGATAGCAGCGGCAACGAAAGACTTGGGCGAGTACAAAAACAGTGTCCGATAAAATCTTGATGGCCTTAGGTTTCGAGATGGGCAGCAACGCAAACTCTTCGAAACTCCGAGTCCAAGACCGTCTTCGAAAAAAGGAGGCAAGCTTGCTTCAAGGCTCCCGGGTCGGTTGGAGTCAGGTATTGTAGAGTTGAGTGCAGGCGCTGAGTGGCGCTATCGGAATAGGTCGCCTGCTGGAGACTGGATTGGAGCTCAAAAACATGATGAAAGCAAGCAACAGCAACACTTTGTGACACTTCGAGCCATAAGACCCGGGACAGGCAAACTTGCGATGATCCCCTGGCACACTCGAAGTTGGCATGACCCCTCGGAGTGCAGCTACTCGCAGCGGTCGAAGGGGCGAAGGACATCAGCCGCTGATACTATACTATACTATACCATACCATACCATACCACACCATACCATGCTATACAATACTGTACTAGTGCTATACCATACTATACTATACTATACTATACTATACTATACTATACTGATACTATGCTATACCAATACTATGCTATACTAATACTATGCTATGCTATACTAAACTATATTATACTAATACTATGCTATACTATACTATACTATACTAATACTATGTTATATACTATGCTAGACTGTCTCAGGTTGCTTTTTGAAATCGATTGGGCGCCCAGAGTCGAGTTGGGAACTGCCGCCTCACTGGCAGACCGATGCCGTGGGCCGTTGGGGGGTGAAAAGGGCACGCTGCTACCGCGCTAACCTGGGAGGTTCATGGGTAGTTCTAAAGTGGGGCTATAAGTAAGGTAACTGTAGTTATAACCCATATTAGGGGACTTATAGCCATACTTATAACTGTCCATGAACCTCCAAGTACACTGCTACACGTACATGAGCCCACAGTGAGCTCAGCTGCGTGGCCTGTGGTGACAACTGACCAGTGTGAGGTATTCCAGCCACGAAGACAGCAGAGCAAAAGGGATGGTAAGCGCTGCGCTAGGCTGGATACCCACCCTGAGCGCCAGCATCCAGCCAAGCCTCACCCAAGTGCTTCGATGGCATGCTTTGCTGTACGCAAAGTATACATACATACCTACATACATTCATTCATACACACATGCATGCATACATGCATGCATACCTCATATCTACATGCCTACATGACTACATGCCTACATGACTACATGCCTACATAGCTGCCCGCCTGCACACCTTACATACCTGCATACCTGTATGCCTACATATCTACATACATGCAAGCACGCATGCACACATATGCATAATTGCACATGTATGCACATAACTGTACTTGTCATGCCCTATTCACTGGAGGCTTCCTGAGGTCAAGGCTGCCCACTCTGCTGAAATAGTCAGGGCAGGCTCCTTCCCAGCTGAAGAAGTGTACTGGAACCTGCGCATTTCAGTGGCTCGCGCTTGATTTAGGTCTTGGGGTAAAGCGCTGCTCATTCCTCGCTGCCGCCTCTTCTTGTCTGGCGTCCAGATGTCAAGGTTCCAGTTGTCGTTTTGGATTGACCTGGGTGCTGAATCAAGCAGGCTTCACACAGTTCCCCAGCGGCTGACATGATGCCGCCGTTCAAAGGGCTCATGAGTCTTGCTGGGGACTTGGCCACTTTCTCATGATGCCAGTGTTGTCCTCAGCGCTGGCTCAGGTGTCATGGCTGGCAGGTTTGGCAATCCGAAAACAATGATGATGTCAGAGTTGCTGCTGTGCAAAGTCCGTTCAAAACAACCGTCTTGCAGTCAGGGCACCACTTCGTATGCGTCTGCCACCACCACCTGAAAGGTGTCTGCTTCTAAGGCATGTGACTGAGCTGTCTCAGCTTCTGATGGCCACGAATGTTCAAAGAGGTCAAGATGCCCTACTGGCCGCGGTGACCATCTTCCTGCCTACTTGGAAGTTCATGGGTAGTTATAAGTGGGGTTATAAGTAAGGTAACTATAGTTACAACTCATATTAGGGGACTTATAACCATACTTATAACTACCCATGAACCTCCAAGCAAAGTCGCCTGGTCACCTTCGATTGCCCTCCTGCATTGACTTTTGCGGCTTGCCCGAGTCCCAGAAAGTCAGGCGCAATTGCTCGGATTCGGTAGAGAAATACCTATTCCCCAGACAGTGTGGCAACACTATGGTGTTCTTGCGTTGATAAGATGAGGAGAACTGGCTAGCACGCGCGCGCGGCACGCACCACAAAGCTTCCCGATGCGCGGCTCCCGCCGTGGTGCGGTGCAGAGTTTGCAGTTTTTTGCACTCGCTTCCCATCGTGTACAGAGTTGTTGCCATCTACCGTCGGAACCAGTGTAAATTGAAAACTAGTTGAGCCACTTTTCCCTAACCGCCACAGTTTTTGGATCTGGGGTCTCCTTCGGAATCGCGCCGCCAGTTAAGGGGAAGTCCTCATTCCGGTCCGTACCTGAGGGAAAGCATTTCGGCCGTCAGGTCCTGGCAGTGCTGGTGGTCGTCGAGCTTGTCATTGCGGTCGTTGTGGTCATTGTGGTGCTCTTTCACTGTTTGGGGATCTACGTTGGCAGAATGGCATTACTCATGGCATGAGCGCAGTTGGCACGGCTTGATCAGGGCTTGCTGCTAAGACTATGTAGCCACATGGTGTCTTGCAACAAAGCTAAGGTCCATTTTCGGTGTACGACAACAATAGCTGCTGATGACGCAGATGTGTCTGCTGTGCTCGGGTATGTGTGTATATATATATATATACATACATACATACATACATACATACATACATACATACATACATACATACATTGTTACATACATACATACGCCGATCTACACATTCTCGCATGTTTCGCGAATGATGTGCGGGTGGGAGACGCAGAGCAGCTTGCTGCCGTAGCTCGCCTCCGTCTGCTTGGCCACTTCCAGCACAGCAGCTCGGAACCCCTTCGCTGCCGGGGCAGCCTCAGAGAACCTGGCAGCACACGGCCTGCATACTAAACTAGCTCCGAAACTTGTCACTCGCGACTGTTCTTTGTACTTAACAGGATACAGACGTGACGATTTGCAGAAAAAACGCTCGCATGCATTAACATGCTGGTGATTGTTGTTGCTTCTTTGTTTGCGCGCTCTGCCTCGTTCGCACCTTAAGCTACCGACTCCTTCTGCTTGGTTCTACCGGTTTGGTTTGAGCGCACAAAGTGGTGCAGCAGCCTGTTTTGCTGCGCATTCTTGGGTGGCGATTCACTTACATTCTTGTATTGAAATGTCGCTGTCCGACCTTACTTGCAGATTTACTGACTGACTTACCTACTTGCTCACTCAATCACTCACTCATTCACTATTTCATTCAATCACTTACTTGCGCACTGTATCTGCATACATACTTACCGGCTTTCTAGTTTACTTACTTGCTTACATACCTAAGATACCTACCTGCTTACTTGTTTGCTTTTTGGGTACATGTGCAGATCCGTAAATCTCTGCATACCTGCATACGCAAAGTACGTGTGTATGTACTTTGCACGTATATATATATATACATATATATATATGTAAACATATATACTGAGAGAGATAACGTATACGTATTGTGTACATACATCTTGTGGGAAGGATCATGCAATACACTCGCGCACACACACACACACACACTCTTGGAACGACCCTCGATATAGCCGAGCCATGACATGGATTAGAAAGCTAGTTATATCTTTTCGAATTTCCTCAATCTCTTCACCTGCTCTGCAATCTTATCATGGTTGTCCTTATCCTCTTCATTTCTATAGACTCATACGAAACAACAGAATTTAAGGGTGCATCTTCGGGCAGCGGCGATTGTCGCAGGTATGTGAGCTAGGCAGCTAGGCGTCCCCAGCGAATGTCAGTGATCTGCAACAGTCTCTTCGTTGGACTGCCACTGCTACAGATCATGCAATCTACAGCTACAGTTCTAAACCCTTGGCAACAGGCTTCACACACACGCACACACATGCACGCAACTCAAGATGCCGCGGGCTCCACAATATGCAAACGACGATTTTTCTGCACGCCCCATCAGCTCAAATCTGCATGCAGCTCAAGCTCAAGCCCGGCCGAGCTTGGGAAACAGCGAGGTCTATTCGGTTTAGGGCTTAAAGTTAAGGGCTTAGGGGCCATGTAGGATTTAAGGGTTAAGGTGCGTAAGCTGGGGCTGATTTACCTGTTCGTCCACACTTTCCCGATTCAGCCACGCCAAACTTGAAACCCGATCTCACCGCACTCGGCACCTCAGGAAAGGACGACTTGAATCCAGATCATCCTGTTGATGATATAAATCCTGCATTACCTTAAGGACCTTAAACTATGGGAATTATTGTATATTCCTTGTTACGGGGTAATGCAGGATTTATATCATCAACCGTACGTCCTGTGCATCTGCAGGGCGAGTCTAAGCCCTGCACCCGAGTTGCCTCCCCCGCGGCTTCGCTTGCGCCGCTTGTGCCACTCGAGTCTCCTGTGTGCACGGCCTCGGAGGCATGGCAAAAAACTGCCAGACTTCTCTCTCCCTGTTAAATATCTTTGGTGCTCCAACAGAAACCTTCCTCATGTCCATCAACGCTTTAGAGAAAACAAGCTAGGTAGTACGGACTTGACTGGCCTTCCGGCAAATCTTGGTGCTCGATAGGACTCTATCACTTGCTGCCGCCTCTCTTTGGATTTAGAGGGGCAGTGACTTCGCCGGCTCAGCTTTTCGTCGGATCTATACTGCTGCTGACCCCAATTAAGGTCAGCGCATGACTTGCTGGGAGGCCCACGAGGAAGCAGAAGCTGCCTAGCAGGGCTTGAGAATCCATTGTTAGACCCGGCTCAGATCGCTATAATATGTGATAACATGCGTTAGTACGCTATAATGTATTAAAGTATGCTATCATATTATGCTCTAGGACACTGGTATATACGGTTATATGCTCTATATATATATATATATATTTATTTATTTATTTATTATATTTATATTTATATATATTTTTGTTTATTTATTTATCTATTTATATATATATGTGTATATGTATATATAAACTCCGAAATCTAAAGCACACGATGCTAGATCATCAGAGTCATCAGCGCCTGCGAGCCGCCAAGCGCCTTGGCCGGCGAGGCCTCTCCCCGAGGCTCCCTGGCCTCGGAAGCCCATGGGTTTTAGGGTTTAGGGTCTATAGGGTCTAGGGTCTGTGGGGTTTAGGGCTTTAGGGTTTTAGGGGTTTAGGGCTTAGGGGTTTAGGGGTTTAGGGTTTTAGGGGTTAGGGTCTACAGGGTTTAGGGTTTAGGGTCTAAGGCTTTAGGGGTTTAGGGTTTAGGGTCTATAGGGTTCAGGGTCTATAGGGTTTAGGGTTTAGGGTCATGGCAAGGCTGCAAAGCCAATCAGAAAACCGAGCTCCAGCTGAAGACAGAGTAGTATCTTATAGTCTTATAGCATGTTGGTAGTATCTTCCCGTCCCTTTGTAGTGTCTTATGCTATCTTGTATTATCTTCGCGCATACTATAGTTTACTAGTGTTTACTATATACTATAGCGAATATGAATACATCGTAGTATATTGTCGTAGATTAACGCGATTAACGTATATTGTATTGTCTTGTAATATAAGATGCCACTTCAAGGCTTTCGCCCGGAGCGGACGTGGCGCATCCGCAATGGCCATGGCCTCGGCACTCCGTGGCGCAAGCTTCTCAGACCTTCATAGGCTTGGTCATCTTACAGCCAGCCCGGCCTGCTGCAATGGTACCAGAAGCCTCTTGTCGTTGCTGGAACGGCACCTACGTATCCAATGAACAACTATGCAAAGCGCTCGGAGCTGCACAAGCTCAGCCCAGGCGCAGCTTCAGGCTTCGTAGAATCGCCTTGTCGTGGGCTAGGTCATGACCGGGGTCATCGCCCACATCATTCAGTCTCTTCAGTCCAGACCCTCTGGCATGCCTGCTCCAGGTACAGGTAGACATCTTGGTTTGGAATCTCGGTCCCGTGGTGGAGCTCCAGTCCTAAGCCACTCTCGTGTCACTACGGCACTAAGGCACGAGAGATCGACTGCAGAGCACGCGGCCCTCCAAGGAGACCTTCACACCACCTGAGAGTTCTCTAATGACTCGAGAGACGTGGCAAACAGCCGGTGAACTCAACTGCAGTCCCCGGCATGCGGCGGTCTCATCTTGCCAGTCCCTCAGGCTGGGTGCGAAGTCTTCACCCGAAGGCCTGGAGCTGCGGGGACCCGGTGGGGACCCGGTGGGGACAGAGGGTCCTTTCCATACCGCTGAGGTCGCCGCAACGACTCCGCCCCGACCACGTGATCCTGCCGCGGAAGCACATAAGCTCACAGCTGCACCTAGTTCCCTGTCTTGTTAGCCGAGAGGACTTGGCGCCAGGTTGCAGAGGTATGGTCCTTTGAAGGGAATCACAGACTATCAAGATCCAAGAAGGTACTATCAGCTTCATCTTGACGTTCGGCTTGCGTGGCTTGTCCCCTTTGCTCTACTGTCTTGTTCTCGGGGCCTCTTGTTCCGAAGGTGATGGGCAAGCAGCTCAGGCGTCGCTTCTCACTGCGGGCCGGACAGAGATCGAGATCGGCCAAGCGGCAAAGACAGTCGAAGGGCAAAAAGCATCACTGGTCTATCTGAGATTGTGGAAGCTGGAGACTGGTTTGCGCAGGAGGGCTGCATTCATTAAATCCAGGCGGCTGCGTACAGCATGTCGGTCTCTGATCACCGGGATGTGAAGGGAATGAAACGTGCCCTCAGAATGACAGACTTTCCTTCTTGAAAGACTCTCCATGTGTAGCAAAGACGAGACCGTCAACCGATGCCATCAGGGTTTGTCACAGCTCCTGTAGTGAGGCGCGGTGCAGCACCACGACTGCCACCGCGTCTTCGATCCAGACGCTCCTATGCAATCGGCCAGAAAGTCGCTCAATGTCGCAGAGATAATCATGCTTTGCTCTCAATCTAGGGGTTCTTGTTCGGGTTTCCTTATTAGGATCCATTAAGGATCTTAAGGCCGCGTTACAAGTGGGGGTCCATGGTTGGTTCCTCCATGTCTACACCCTAACAAGAGAGCCCTTATAAAAGCCCCAAGACCTCCCGGAGTGTCCTGCGGCCCATGAGCTTTGCATGTGCTTGCGCAAGGCGGACAAGGCCTCGAGACAGGGAGGGAGTTTTGAGATCCTGAGTTGCTTTAGGTTACGTGATGTTGTGTGGGGCTTGGGGGGAAGTGCCGAGGCTTTGCCATGAGAGCCCTGCGATCGAGGTGCTCTCAAGTGTGCGCGCGGTGACGCCGCCACCGCCGCCACCAGAGTTCAGGGACGTCGACCGAAGCTTCTGGAAATACCTGGTTCAGGATTAGGATCTAATGGACTGGTCACTCCCGGGTCAGATGAGAGATTGGTAGCTGCTGTGAGATGCGTATGAGCTTCTCAACTGTCAACTCCTACCCTGGCAGTCTGCAGGGCACGTCTCCAGCAAGAGCGCTGCCCCTGGCTCATCGTCCTAGCGGAATGCTGAAGCCGGTGGCGTATATGCAAGATCACATCAGGAATGTCATGGAATGTCGGAGAGTCCTCGTCAAGCAGCTTGTCTTTTGCCCACATCAGGTACTCGCGCAGCCTGTCACGCTGTCACACTCTGCAAACTCAAACGAACGGAGATCTGCAACCCCCGACGAGCCTTCCGTGGTCCCAAACCGGAGGCTTCTCCACGGAGCTCTGGCCCTCAGCTTCATGGGACCCTAAACCTTAAACCCCTAAACCCTAAACCCTAAACCGTTCCGTAGAGAAAGCGTCGAAGCTCTTAGAATCTGCATCTCATCGAACGGAGGCCGAGGCCGGCGCTGTGCTTTCAAGGATAAACTCGGCCTTGTCGCTCTCCGTGGCACCACCCTCCGTAAGCGGCCGAATTCCACTATACTATGTTATACTATATTATACTATATTATACTATATTATACCATGTCACTATATTATACTATATTATACCATGTCACTAAATTATACTACATTAGATTATACTATATTATACCATATTATACTGTAGTATATTATATTATATTATATTGTATTATATTATAATAAATTATATCATATTGTATTATTATATTTAAAGTATTCTATTATATTATGTTATACTATACATATTGTATTATATTATACATATTGTATTATATTATATTATATTATATTATATTATATTATATTATATTATATTATATTATATTATATTATAGTATATTATAATATAATATATTATATTGTATTATATTATATTGTATTATCTTATATTATATATTATATTATCCGGATCTCCGTCGATTGACACGATGTACGGCAGAGACATACCTGGCAGTATGGGCCGAATGCATGAGCAGGCCGCGCGGCTTTCCGGCCTTCCCGCCCTCTGCAAACCTTGGCAGGTGCGTTTCAGTCTCGTCTCATAAGACCAGCAGCGGCGGTATGAGCAACAGAAGCGGCATCCGAAGAGTCTATAGGTGGGAGACAGCAGCTGCAAGACCGCTCTCCACGTCCATGCCAGACAAAGGAATCAAAACGAAGTCTGACCAAGGGAGCCACACGACGACCAGATCGAAGCGGCTGAGCAATGGCGGCGGCAGGCCGGAGTTCACCGCCAAAGAGGACTTAGCAGTTTAGGGTTTAGGGTTTAGGGACTTAGCAATGGCAATTTTAAGCGGCAAAGCGAACTCTCGGAGGGCCGACAAAACATCCGCAGGTGCTTGTCTTGCCAGCTTTTTTCCGGTCCCGATGGGGCATCCTCAGCACTGGAACCTGGATTGTGGACATCCTTATTATATATTAGTATTAGTATTATATTATTAGTATTATTATTACTGTTATTAGTATTAGTCGTAGTAATAGTAGTAGTAGTAGTAGTAGCAGTAGTAGCAGCAGTAGCAGTAGCAGTAGTAGTAGCAGCAGCAGAAGCAGCAGCAGCAGCAGCAGCAGTAGTAGTCGTAGTAGTAGCAGTAGCAG